TGGTGGAGGTCTGGACTCAGCTCTCTCAGCCCGCCGATGAGAACTGGGACCCGAGCGGCAGCAAGAAAATGTGGCGCTGCGAAAGTGCCCGCGCCCACACCACCATCGCCAAATACGCCCAGTATCAGGCCGCTTCCTTCCAGGAGTCCCTACGGGTCAGTTCAGCTTGATCTGTGTCCTTTTTGGATTCCATTTATACAAAACTTATTCAGGATTTAAGTTTTGCAGCTCTTCAGAAAGGTTTAAGGATACAGAAAATATTAATTGATGGCTGTTGGCCTAATGTGTGCCCTGTGTTTTCAGGAGGAAAATGAGAAGAAGTCATTAAAGGAGCCCTCGGACTCAGAGCCAGCGTCAGCAGAGAGGTACCTAATGTCGTTTTGTGGAAATAAGAAAAGTCTCAGTTTTGGCATGTACTTTGATGTAAATCCTCTCTGTGTGTCTTCAGTGTTGCGCGCAAAAGAAGGGGCCCCTTAAAGCACATCAAGTTCGGAACCAACATCGACGTGTCGGACGAAAGGAAGTGAGTTGGGATCTCCTCTCGCCACCTCATGTGCCGTGTCTTTCAGAGCTGATCTTACAGTTGTCTCACTCGCTCTCTACCAGGTGGAAGCAGCAACTCCAGGAGCTCAGCAAACTGCCAGCCTTCGCTCGAGTCGTGTCGGCCGGCAACCTGCTCAGCCACGTGGGTCACACCATCCTGGGAATGAACACCGTTCAGCTCTACATGAAGGTCCCTGGGAGCAGGATAGCAGGTGAATACACACACACACACACACACACACACACACACACACACTCAAAGTCCCGCTCTCTTTCTGAGATAGATGAGACAGATGAGTCCTGCAGTTCAATGTTTGGTGTGATTTGCGCAGTGAAGAGGTTTTGTTTGTCTCTGCAGGTCACCAGGAACACAATAACTTCTGTGCTGTCAACATCAACATCGGGCCAGGGGACTGTGAGTGGTTTGCAGTGCCGGAGCCGTACTGGGGAGTGATGAGCAACTTCTGTGAAAAGTAAGCTGGACCGGACGATTGTGTATAAAGCCGCTTGAAGCCATAAAAATGCTTCACCTTCCCTCGACTCACAATTTAATCACACCTCTGCCTGTCTCACCCCCCCCAGGAACAACATCAACTTCCTGATGGGCTCGTGGTGGCCCAACCTGGAGGACCTGTACGAGGCCGATGTGCCCGTCTATCGGTTCATCCAGCGTCCGGGAGACCTGGTGTGGCTCAACACCGGCACCGTCCACTGGGTGCAGGCCATCGGCTGGTGCAACAACATCGCCTGGAACGTCGGACCTCTCACCGGTACGCCGGGGAGTATGGGACAGGGGTTAATGTTAGGGGCAGTCAAGCAGCTAGAGGACAGATTCAGTAATCTGAATATTAGAGTTTAAAATGTCTTTTTAAATGATTTTGGCAAGTCTGACAAATTGATTGGATTATGTAGTTTCAGTCTTGCTTTTAAATGCGTTTTGGGGAAACTTTTGTATTGATCTCACTGTAAAACAACACTGACATTGAACCAATACGGATTTTCCTATATGTCCTTTGTGCTTTTCTGTCAGTATGGGTGTAAAATAGGCTTTAAATTGCATTTATCCTGCACTTATAATGCAGTTGAATCCACTGAAACCTGCAGAAACCACGTTAGAATCTCCCTCTCTCTTTGTCTTTGACCACTAAAGGCAACAAAATATATACATACTGCATACAACAAGTATGTAGATTTAGCGGCCCAAATTCACAACTTTGTGTTACAGAAATTATATCTCATATGCTGACCTTTACCGGGATGTTTGAAATGCTTTCTAGCTGATTGGTGACCTTTTTAGCCGATAAGGGAGCTGATTACAGCAGGATTTTATTTCCTGTCTCCAACAGATGCACTACAGGTGCATTTTCCAGTCATCTGTATACAAATACGCTTCCATATTAACCAGTGAACCTGTCTGCGCTGTACACATAACAGCTCCCACTACACTGTCTGTTTTACATCCACGACTCAGTCTTTCTGAACGACGACATCATTCAGTGCACCTCGTGCTTTCTTGTGTTGACGGCGAGTAACGTGCAGTATGTTTCCACTGCCTCTCTCCAGCCCACCAGTACAAGCTGGCGGTAGAGCGCTACGAGTGGAATAAGCTCCAGAGCGTCAAGTCCATGGTTCCCATGGTGCACCTCTCCTGGAACATGGCACGCAACATCAAAGTGTCCGACCACAAGCTGTTCGAGATGATCAAGTGAGTCACGCAGTCCCTCGCTTTCAGCCCTCAGCAGTTTGTTTGTATTATACGTCGGGTTTTTTTTTAATCTGACGCGGCGTGTTCCTGTCACAGGTACTGCTTGCTGCGGACCTTGAAGCAGTGCCAGTGGGTGAAGGAAGCCTTGGCGGCGGCCGGCAAGGAGACGGTGCTGAGGCCGAGGACCAGGGACGAGCCGGCCCACTACTGCACCATCTGTGAGGTCAGTAAGCTCACCGGGAACGTTTCAGTTATCAGGGGGTGTGAAATTGGAACAAGATTTCACTTTTCTGGATATTCGTAGTCTGACAAAAATAATTGTCTCACCTTAACTGCTCCTGTTCTGAATGATACTTAGACCGCACATGTTGGATTACATGTATGTGTCCCCTGGTTGTCTCTCTGCTGGTCTGAAGCTGTTAGAAAATGTGTGAGGGGGAATAATAGATGTCAGTGTTTGACTCATTTATGCTACAATTCAGCAGTTTTCCGTCTGAGAGAGTTTAAGCAACATAAAGACCTGTGATCAGTTGGTCCACTGACTTGAATTAAAGGCCGACTCTGTGTTTGTTTGAGCTAATTAACGAGCCCGCTAATGGATTTATTTGAATGCATGGCTTTCGGGCTGTTTAGCAGAATATCCCATTAAATGTCTGCTGTCATTGTGTCCCAGCAATCGTTGTGTTATTCACTGTCTGCGGAGCAGCTCCAGGGTTTGTCACTAGATGACATCATCACTGCAGTCTCTGCTGCTCAGCTTCGTTCAGACTCAAACCAAATGTGTACCCTGCAGGTGGAGGTGTTCAACCTGCTGTTCGTGCGCCGCGAGCTCCTGTCCAAGAAGCAGTACGTGGTCCACTGCCAGGACTGCGCCAGGAAAGGCAGCGCCACGCTGGACGACTTTGTGGTGCTGGAGCAGCACAGGATGGACGACCTGATGCAGGTCTACGACCAGTTCACATTAGTAAGTCACCGGACGGAGGGCGAGGCGGACTCGAGGCGCTTTGTTTCACCGTTCAAACTGAAAGAAAATTCCAGCACATTTATGTGAATCGAACGAGCAAATATCGTTTTATCTGAAATGTTAATTAAAATTTTGGATGTTTTAAAAATACAACTGTGGACGTGTGTGTGTGTGATTGCAAGCTTTCATTCCAACCAAACAAAGACTAGTGATTGACTGAATAGTTTCAGTTATAGCTGCTTTTAAAATCACCTCCCGTTGAACAGACACCTCACACAAGGAGACAGGGATGTTATGAAATAAAAGTTTCTAAGTTGACTGGTGATGGGTGTGGTTCCTCTTGACTCTACATCAGACATTTGCTCAAAGCTAGATGTTTATAGTGCCTAATTATCATGCAACACTTTGTTTGTAAGCCTGTGGCGGTTCAGAACAGCGAGCAGACGTCAGACGTACCCACAGTGCTAACAGCAGTGATACTGTTTATCTTGTGTATTGTATATCAACATGTTGACCGCAGAAAGCCTCTAGCTGATGTCTTGACTAATTCCCGCGTATCATCTTCCTCCCCAGGCCCCTCCTCTTCACTCATCTTCATCTTGACATTAGGTGACACCTCTTTCTTCTTCTGCTGTGGAGCCATGAAGCCCATTTACAGGAACTTGTATTAAGATAAAACTAAAGAACAAAACAAACATCTACATACGCGGACCATTTCTGATATTCAGGAAAGCCAAGGCCGTCTCCCCACCCCTTCACCACATGGCTGGTCTCCATAGCGACGGCTGGAGGCTGAGGCGGCCGAGTGTGTCTGTCTATGCAACCTGTTTTTTTGAAGTGCTGGAGCCTTGCCCTTCCAGGGGAGGGGGGGGCGCCACCGAGCTCGCTAACAGGACTTCTTTCTCTCCCTCCCCCTCACCCCCTCCCAGCCCCCTCTTGTGACAATGGTTCCGCCCTGTTTTAATGGAGGACTTAATCAAAAACGGTTGGGAACAGGGGGGGACGAGGGGGAGGAGTGGGACTCTTAATGCGTGATAAAAATGTTTTGTAGATACTTGTTAACTGTCACAACTGGCAACACCACCCGTAAAAGACTACTGACTTGACAACCTTTTTCTCTCTCTCTCTCGCTCTCTCTTTCTTTCTCTCGCTCTCTCTCTCTCTCCCCCTCTCTCCCTTTATTTCTTTTTCTATTCTGGTAACAGGATGAAATGTCTGCTTTGATTTATAGAATTTTCCCCCCAAAACTTTTCTTCTGTTTTTTCCTTCTAAGGAGCACTAGCCTAACTGGTCTTTTTCTATGGTAGATAGTAATTTTAAGACTCTTTCAACAGCAAAATCTCCAAAAAAATTTGTAATGTGAAGAGTTTAGGTGATTCTTCTTTTTCTTTTCCTTTTTTTTTTTTTTTTTTACAGCTTTTACGTTTTATCTTTGTCTTGTTCTTTTCAAAACTATGATGTTTTGTTTCTTAGGTAAAAAAGGAAAAATTAAGTAAAAAAAAAAAAACTTACTAGCCAAGTCACAAAGAGAATGGGTTGCACATAGACTTATGGAATAAAGTTTAATTTGTGATTTTTTTGTTCGTTTCGTTATGTTTCTAATCTTGATGTAAATTTACACTATTTATAAATACATATTTATTGCTTGAAAATATTTGTTGATGGAATGCTGTTATTTTTTCCAGAGTACCTGCCATTAAATTTGAAGGAGTTTTGTCATTTTAACACAACTCCTCTTACATTTTCTATATATAAATAAAATTGCTTAGCAAGCATTGTACAGAAACGGACATTTAAAATTGTTTTATTGTTTGAAGAATGTTTTATGATGAGTCAATAAACACAAAGTTGTCAAATTATCCATGCTTTCTGCTTCCTCCAACATACAGTACTTCCATATAAATCATTCGACATGTTATTTACAGTAAATACCTGGAATAACACAAAAATATAGACATCGATGTGTGTGAGTGCAGGCCTGAAACCCAGCAGACAATGTAGCTGTAGACTGACACACACAGAATCCTACACTGTATGCCAGGTCCAGAACTCACCCAGAATCTCAAAAAAAACATTTTTATTTCACATAAAATTCCTGCTGTCATCCACTCTACCCGTGCAGTCTTGGATTAACTCTGCCGAGGGCTTTTTTTTCTTTGCAGTAGGTGGGCATTCGAGACATTTCTTTGAAATTTTAAAAAGATCCCAAAGAGGCTGTGAACTACACACAGAAACGCCAGTAGAAAATAAATGGCCTATCTTGTTAGAAAGGAATTCCAAATATGTCTAAAAATATTAGACACAGTACATTACATTAAATGTAACAAGCTGCAAAATATGATAATGCAATAATACAGTATCCTTTTATGTCATCATTATGTATCCTGATTAACATGGCCGCCAGCAGAGACCCAGTAGCCAGATGTAGCTGCTGCCAGCCCCACAGGATCTACACTGACTACTGAGCAACCGCTGGGCGCCCCGTGGCTCTGCAGCTCCGACTGGAGCCAAAATGGCTGCCACATTGCAGCCAAGACGGGAAATGATTAGGAGGAAAACAACTTCACGCAGAGGGAATGTGACAAATAAGCAGGTTCCCCGGGTATCGGATGTGCCGTCAGTGTTGGCCACTGCTGATGGGATGCAGGTGAGGATGTGACTCAAACAAAAACACAGAATATTGTAACACAGCTCGAATACAGAAAATACCAGAAGTGGAAGAAGAGTTTCTAACATTACAGCAGACAGAAGCCCTTTTCCCACTTGCACCGTCACCTATAAATGCTCTGCCAATATGTGGCGTTCTGTGTGAAAGGGTTGTTTAGTGGACTCATATGTTCCATGTAAGATTCGTCAGCAGTGCGCCAGCTCTATGGGACCTATTGAAACCCTTTTCACACATCCTGCAACACTGCAGGTTTGACCATCTGGGTGAGGATGTAGATTTAGATCCCTCATATGGAAAATAACACGTCAATCTGTTCCCACATGGCAGAGTCATAGTGGATAGATGTTTTGTGCAGCCAAGAGACTGCAAGTTAAATCGAAGGGGAACTAAAGATTATTAAAATAATGCATTTCTGCTATACAAAACTGTTTTTTTTTTTAGACTTTGCTTTAATTTGATTTGTTATTTGTGAATGGATTTACCTCTTACCTCTTACAACTTAAGAGTAATATGCATTAGAATGAGGCTTTATGGTTTCAGCTGGACTGCTAACATGTTAAATACACACTGATACACACAATACTCCCTGTAAAACGCCGCGTGGTTCCATGTAGCGCTTTTACTGTGTTCAATACTTTGGTTTAGAACAAAATACTTGGAACATCAGCATGTTTATTTGCAGTGAGTGTAAAAGCACGCTGACGTTAGCATTTAGCTCAAAGCCCTTTTTTCCAGATAAAAGATTTTAACATTTGGATAATCATCAGGATTTGTGCCGCCTGTGTTCACACCATGTGGGAAGATTAAAAAGAGCATTTGCAGGTTGAGGTGCATGCGGCAAAGAAACTGCCATTTCCCTTTTTGCCTCTCAGCGTTGATCCCGTGCTGAAACCAAGATGGCCGCCTGAGCCTGTGCTGTCGCAGCGTCCATTTTGAGTGCCACAGATGGACGCCGGAGGACTTTCCACCGCCTTCCCCGGAGTGTCCATCTGCCGTTCGAGGTCTGACAAGAGTCCTGGGAGAAAAAAAAAAAAGACATGGAGATAAGAATGACTTTAATCACACGAGGAGTTTGACGGTGAAACAAGACAATAAGATGGCCGAGTTTAACCCCCGTAGGAAATGAAGAATCCAACAGTTTATATTCAGCATTTGAAAGCAGTAATAAGAGCTGAATTCTCTGGTGGTCCTGAAGCAGTATTGATTTATATATATTTATATATATTGCTGCTGTTATATTGTCTTTCTTTTAACATTTTGACTTTCTACCCACAAACTCTTACTTTGGCGGAGGCACGCAGGAACTAAAGTGGGTGTGGGCTGAGAAATCGTGATTCTAGGAAACAAGATGCTAGTTTTGGGGCAGGAAGTCTTCATCGGTTAAGAAGATGAAGACTTCCTGTTGGCTGTGTGACACGACAAAGACAGGAAATTTAAGAGTTTTGTGACATATGTAAAGAGGGAGGGAGGCAGGGGAGGCAGGGGGAGGCAGGGGGAGGCAGGGGGAGGCAGGGGAGGCAGGCGTCAGAGGGCCATTTTCACACTTTTACTTAACATCCTGAACGCTAAAGTGTTGGCACAGTCCTTTATCTTTCTTCGTCCTATATCTTCCACCTATATCCTCTGTGAAATCTGGCAGCGATCCAGCAGAAAGGTATGTGAACTCTGCTTGGCCTGGACCACCAACCACCCCCCACCCAAACTCCTTGCTCGAATCCAGACCGCCAAACAATGTCTCCCTGTGTCGCAGTGGGGGGAAAAAAAGGAGAGAAAGAGCATGAGGGAAGGAGTTAAACCAGCAGTGTTGATCAATGCCCTCCCTCTCCCCCTCCTCCCCGTCCCCATCCCTCTTTCTCCCCCCTCTCCTTCCTTCCTGTTCCCTCCATCTCTGCCCTGTCTGCTCTGGCGTTTCCGCCTTTGTGAGAAGCACACAGGTGGCCCTGACTGCTAATTTTAACCGGGCCGATTGTGTCCCTGCGTTTCCCACAGCTATGTATAGACGCCTGCAATAAACCAAGTAGGTCAGTGTGTGAGGATCACACACACACACACACACACCTACAGACGCACACACACCAGGCCCTGACCTCTAAAAATGTCTGACTCCTGCATTCATCCACTCCCGCCTCTGTTGCAAATGATCATCCCTGATTGGCTGTCACTCTCAGCCAATGGCAGAGCTTCCAGCTGCCCATTCATAAAATCTAGGGTCATTGAGGATAGTGTAGTGTTAAAGCACATGCAAAGAGGCTAAACCTACTTTTTATTTTTCACAATTTAACTACATTTTAATGTTACAGATTAATATTAATTAGCACTAAATGTACGTTATATAAACAACATCATTTTATGGGTTTATTACTAATATTTATGCACATCATATATGTGTATTACTGTTAGTTGGCTGCAAACAGCTAATTCCTGTTCTCTCCTGAATTAGTGGAATTTAAAGTGAAATACGGACCTTTGAATTTAAAGTTTTAAACGTATCCCTCAAAGTCTCGCTCCATTCAGCCCCACACAGACGCAACATTCCTGTGTGTTTAATGAGTAATGAACCGAGGGCCACTCGGGCCGTGATAATCTCCCCTTTTTTTGTGTTTTATCAGCCCATTGCTCTCTTTCCGCCCCTCCATGCCTCTCTCTCTCTCTCTCTCTCTCTCTCTCTGTCTTTCAGGTTCGATTCAAAGGGGCTACCGCAGACACACTCCTTGAATCCACTCAGGTTTGGTTTCTTCCCCAGTTTTACCACCCCTGCTAGCTTTCTGACCCGTCTCAGGGTTGAGTTACCTGTTTATATATAGAAACGTGTGTCAAAGTGACTTGCTTATATGGAGCCTTAATGTGTGACATCCAGAGCACAGACCTATAGCTGTGAGGGAAGGATGCACATACAAACTGAATAGGAAGTGCTGGGAAAGCAAATAAAAAAATCACTATGTATTTGTAATGAAAAAACACTTTAAAGCCCCTTTAAATGTTAGTATTTTTCTATAAGATTATGTAGTTATGACTAAATGAGTAAATATTAAAGTTGGGAAAGGAGGAAAAGTGGAAAAAATAAACATCCATGGTTATTTATTTGTTAAGAGTTTAAGCCTGCATTTTGATTGGTTCCAAACATATATGACAGCGCTGTTTTCCAACTAAGCCCCGCCCACATCAATCAGTGAGAATAACCCAGAAAAAAATATATAATATAGAAATCTCGGATATAAAAGGACCCAAACTGCTCCCACTTTGGGAGAAAATTGCACGTTCATGTAGGAACCCATCGCTCATAGGAAGAAGCTGATAGAGAAAATAGGCTCTCTGCGCCTTTAACGTTGTCAGAAATGTGTTTAAAAAGCTGAATTTTAATTGCACAGATAGGACTCATGGGGAAAAAAAGAGCAGGAGTCGCCTCAGGAGACGAAAATGAAAGACATTTCGTGTAAGTGGTGCAAAACTCTGCTACACCTACCTACACTACAACCAGCTGTGGAAAGGCATTCTGGGAAATGTAGGGCATAACTATCTCAGGTAGAAACACACTTATGAGGCAAAAAACATCCCTTCATCACAAAATAACTCCCTGGAAAGCACATTAAATCACAGCTAGATTATAAATGACTATTATATTATATAAAAGAGGTTTTTTTCCTTTTAGAATCAAAGAAGAAAAACGTTAATTTTTTTTATACGTTGTCGATAATTTGGGGATGAATGCCGAGATAAAATCCATCCACTCAACAACACAAAGCGCGGCCTCAGTCGAATGATGTGATGCGAGGCATGTTTGCGATGGGCTATCCAAGATAACAAAAAAAGAGGTGCTACCCATTGCTATGGCAACGGAGAGTAATTAGCACAGAGTGCTGTTCAGAGAAAAGGAGAGAGTGAGAGGGAGCATGATTTTGTGTGTGTGTGTGTGTGTGTGTGTGTGTGTGTGTGGGATGTTGGCCTGCTTTCAAGAGATGAGCAATGGGGAGAGGAGGAGGAGGAGGTGGAAGAGGAGGAGGAAGAGGAGATGAAGTAACAGCGGCCTCCGTGCAGGTTTCAGGTATTGTTACACACCAGCAGGGACAATTACTTCCTCTATGCTGACTCAATTTTCACTGCTGAATTTGATGAAGTAATTAGCACTTTTTTTTTTGCTGGAAGAAGAAGTCCGACAGATTTCCTCTGTGCTGCTCGGCAAAAAAAAAAAAAAAAAAAAACCCTCGCTGCATGTTTAAACCCGGACTGTAACTGGAAAGCTGGGTTCAGCTGTTGATCTGGCTCACACTGATACAGCCCCCCCCCACACACACACACACACCCTCTTCCTCCATGTACTACGGATGTGTCCGTCCATCTGTTGGTCATGTGACATTAGTTTCAACTGATTCGATTTTTGAGGAAAGCTCAGCTTCACATTGTGTTCCAGCATTTGGACAAAGGCCGTCCAACTGAACAGAGCTTCTAAGGTCATCTTGCTTTTTGTAATTAGACGCACGCAGCAGGAGTTTGGGATGGGACGCAGTGAAAGGAAGGCTCATTCAAAGGGTATCAGAGTGGAAAGCATTGATATTTGATGAATACATCACCAGAGAGTTTCTGTTTTGGGCCATTTAAAATATTAAATGCTTTAAAAAATGACAAATAGTCCAAATTTGACTGGATTCTGTTCCTGCAAAACAAATAAAACCTCAGAGGAATGATGAATTTTTACATTTCGTGTTTAGTGGACCTAGAGGAGGCGCTGCTATTATAAGTTTCAGTCTATTTGGAAGGAGCTGCAACCTCACTGCTACAATTCTGTTAAAACTGGGAGCAGTGATGCATCTTGTCAGTCTGGCTCTGCTCGCATCATTCATCGGAGGACGACTTGTATAATCTCCATTTCTGAGATTTTATTTATGAAACTGACTCAGCGTGATGCTGTTTAGCACAAATTCCAAATTCACACATCTCCAGCAGCATAGCCCGAAGCTGAAAAGGGGTTTGCAGGTTCGGTGCCTTTCCTGAGGGCCCCTAAAGCGAACCTTGCTCCAGGATTTCGCCCCCTCATACAGCTGTTCCGTCCCCTGCATCAGTCAGCAACCAATGTAATGCAGAAACAGTCTTTAATTAGACAATGCTTAGTGCATTTCCACACAGCACACACTCACGCACTCAAAAAACACCCACACAGTTGGCACGCAGTTTGCCGCTGTTCTTCAAGCATCGAACGGCTCCTCAATCACTCTCTTCTCTGCAACAGCTAATGGCAGCCAGGAGCCCACGGGCGCGTATATGCTAAGAACAATTATGTAGATGTGTGCTAAAACCACTTTGGTGGTATAATCCAACAATCAGTCCATTATAGTAATTGTCATTAGCGAGTGGGCGATTATGGTTTCGACAGAGATGCTGAAGAACAGGCTGAGCTCCACTGCTTTTATGCAAATCTGGCAGGCCCCATTTAATATGTCAGATGTAATGTCGCTGTGTATCTGAAGTTAACGCCAAACAATTGGGGAGTGTGTGTGTGTGTGTGTGTGACTGCCTTAGGGTTTACAGACAGGTGCTGTTAACAGTAAAAAAGAATATGATAGACATGATGAAATAATTAAGGTTTTTAAGGGACTGTAGACAAATTATTAAAGGGGAGGCGGGGTCAGGAAAGTGGGAGGGTTATGGGTTTGTTTGGTTTTTTGCTGAAATGGTTAGAAGAGCAAGGGAAAGATCTTTTATTTTTCCATGCCCCAGATTAATATTTTATTAAATTTTTTTCTTGCGCGATTTGCTATAGAAAAGGAATGAATAGTTTTATCCAAATAGTTATGAGAAAAACACGCACTTAGTGTGTGTGATGGATGATAAAGGTGTGTTTTACTATATCCAGAGGACAGCAATCATATCTCTGGCTTTAGGCTTTATTTATGTCCATATGTGAGGTTTGGGAAACAGTAAATGTGGATATTTTGAAGTTAGCAAGGACTGACCGTTAAAGACATTTTTTTAGCCTCACCTTTGCTTTCCTGCATTAAAGTTAAATGTATCATACAGAGCTAACCTAAGAGATAGATATAAAGAGCAGCATGGATGGTCAGTAAATAGAAAGTACCATTTGTTATGTTTACAGTAATTTTGCTGATTGCTAATCCCACTCTTGTGCTATTTGGATGATGTAAAAATGGTTGTTACATTAAAGCAGATCTTGTTTGGAAATTATAGGGGTGGGAGAGTTGAACTTTTATTTTACAAGCCAAATGGGAGCGTTACAAACCAAATATTAATTTAATAATATTTTTTTTAGGTCAAACATAAGGTTCAGCCCCCCCCCCCTCCTTCCCACACCAATAATTTTCATACAGCCCCTAACTAATTTGAAAAGCAGCAGGTAAATTAGCGTTTGTTGGTTAAATAGATGTTGTGGTGTCAATAGAACATTCTCAGTGTGTCCAGTGGTTGCATTTAGTTTGTACTTCTGTCACTACTGTTTTTATGGGGACTTTCCTCTGTGTATCTTGTTTGTCAGGGCTGAGGTCAACTGACCACTTTGTCCAGTTGCAACGCATCAGCTGAGAGCTCATGGGTGTCATGTTGGGAGGCAACATGTCAGCAGCTCCAATAATGTGGTTAACTTAAAGAGGAAGGCGAGGAATGTATCCTAAACTCAACCCCAGTCCTCCTCCTCCTCCTCCTCCCCTTCAGTCATGGGTTCTCCGCTGGGTAATCGCATACCAAAAACACAAGAATTTCCCCCTCTCTCGTCTCCAGGCGGGGGCCACCACCTCCCCTCCCTCTAACAGCGTCAAGCTGACCGGAGTTCAGCAGGAACAAACCGGAAACTATGCGGGATTTTGCTTTCAAACTAAAAGCATATATTTCTTGAGAAAAAGTAGAGTGAACTTAAAGATAAGCCTAGAAACAAAACAGAAAATGTGTTTAGTGGCCTGAAATAAAATAAATATAGAATACCTACAATATTGCTGGTGAACTAAGACATAGCTTTTACTAAACTCGTACAGAAATGATATTAAAATTATAATAAAAAATAGTAAACCAGTATTTTATCGAATATATGAGCGCTGAAATATGAGGGCTGAAGACATTCGCTGATCAATTGATGGTTTATTGATAGAAAATTAATCAGCCGTTGTTGTGACAGTTGATTAACCAAAGATTTCAAGCAAAAATACCAAATATTCTATAGTTGCAACTTTTTAAATGTGAGAATTTGTTGTTTTTCTTTGTTTTATGTAACAATATTTGATAATTGTTGGGTTTTGGGCTGTTGATCGGAAAACACTGGGTCTCTAAAGATATTGCCTTGGGCTTTTTGACATTTTATAATCTGCACATTAATCAATAATGGAAATAAGTAGCCTAAAAAAATAAAAGTCACGAATAACTCAGCATGTTCTCAAGCCAAAAACTCACGTCAAAAACCATTGGTTCTGCATGCATAGACTGACAATAACACCTTTTTTTTTACTGTTCAGGACAAATGGGAAAAGCATTACCTTTGTTTGCGTCACTATTGCGAGGCTTTCGACCCTTATTGTGAAATGCGCAGCCGGAAGTGTACGTCTTCCTGCCGCGCACTTGCCGCGGGGTGGCAGCGGTTCAGAGAGCTGCTCTGAGAGCGGTTCCCAAACTGCTCTTAATGTGAAAAATACAGAGAAAACGCCGGGCGCATTCCTGAGACCCAGAGACATCCATGCCCGACCGTGACAGACAGTGTGTGTGTGTGTGTGTGTGTGTGTGTGTGCGCGCGCTAACCGTGCGTCTCTGCGGGGGTGGAGAGAGCTTGGAGACCACACACTTTGCGCATTGCCCCCCCAACTCACAGACACGGGACCGAGCAGCACACTTTTAGCCCTCAAAAGTAGCGAAACATTGAAGTTGCGACAAAGAAAAACCCGCAGATGAGGTTAAAAAAAAAATACGACAGTTTGGTTTGCGTGAAAATCCCCCTTTTTTTAAGCAAGTGGAGAGGCTGAAATGTGCTCCCCCCCTCCCTCCCTCCCCCCGGAGAAGCCCCGCATGGCCAAAGCAAAGCAGAACTGAGGTGATGAGGTGGACTTTTCGTCCTGTAATAACACCAGCGTTGAATAAAAGCAACAATACCGAATTGTTTTCACGTTTGTTCAGCCCCGATCACACGCCGCGTTGCGCAATCTGCACGGAGAGGCTGTGGTCGGCGGAACGGTGCCGACGAACGAGAGAAAAAGTCTGTTAAACTTCCCTTTCCTCCAGCACGGGCAACGGCAACAACGACAAACCGAGCCTGGAGAAAGTTGTTCCAAACCCCCCACCAACCCACCCACCCCACTCACCCACCACCGGGAGATAAAGTGCCGTAAGAAAACTGGCCCCACTTACCGTGGCTGCGTCTGCTGGCCGCATGTCCCCACGAGAGTGTTGTATGTCTCTCTCTCTCTCTCTCTCTCTCTCTCTCTCTCTTCTGTGTGTGTGTGTGTGTGTGTGTGTGTGTGTGTGTGTGCAGAAGACGCATACCGATACTAGAGGTCGGAAGCGCAGCGCGACACGTCAACGCGTGTTGCCTCCATATCCTAAGGGGGATTCTTCAGCTGCTGCCTGGCTTCAGTGGTGCACAAACTGGGGTCCGGGGACCTCCGAGGGGGCCCCACCGATGTGTATAGCAAAAATGCGCAAGCCACAAGTGAGCGTGCTTTAAAAGGAGTGATGTGGAGGAGCTCGGAGGCAGCGTTGCGTGAAATCAGTGTCAGTTCATTAAAGTGAGAAGATCCAAATCCCTGCCTCTCATTGGCTGTCATTTATCCCCGATGGTACAGGTACACATTGATTGGCAGGATATGCGATCAGTTAGGGCAGCAAAGTTTAGGGGAATGATAAAATATAACTGTAAAATAAATGTGGGTGTTTTGTGAATGATCTTTGGTCTCTTTTAAAATCTTTTATTTTGGTAAGTATATTTAAAATTGCTCTTGTTCTCAGTCTTTCTCATGAATTGGAGCCGAATGGCATTTTAGCATCACATAAATCACTTTTTTTGTAGTTCCATGTTTACTGGCTGTTTTGCAAAAGCTCAACCAATCAGATTTAAGCAGCGGAAACGCGTGTTTTTTTTCTGTGTTCCCACCAAAGCATGTGCGCAAATCATTTGTTTTATGGACAGAGAATTTTTTCAAGAAATCTCAGATGAGGTTCTGAACGGTGGTCTGTGAGGGTCATCCTGTCATAAGGCTGCATCACCATACACTGCAGCTGTAGCTGTACAGTATTCAACAGTCAGTGCCCTTATGGAGAGGAGACATACTCCAATCACACCACAGAGACACCCAAAGTGCACGTCTGGTGATTGAACCTGAGATTGGGTCACTGTAGGAAGACCACAGTGTGTATAATGTCTCATACGGTGATTTATTTGGCATTTTGTGGAAGTGATGGAACAATGCAAAGCGGCAACCCCCCCCCCTCCTACTACATCACATCAACCCCACATTTCAGAGAAAAACACTGATTTATGCGCAAACACACGCTGCACTCTTCTCCTCACGGGCGACAACTTGAAAACGCACGCAAGCTTGTGTGTGTGTGTGTGTGTGTGTGATTTTCCCACCCTGACACCTTCTCCACACACACACACACACACACACACACACACACACACACTAACACATGCACACAGGCTGAATGGATCCTGCAGCAGCGGCGGCATCGGCGGCGGCAGCCCCGGAGCGCGCTGCTGTTTTTAATGGAGCAGATAACAGACTGGATGGGTTTGTCTGCAGTGGAAGGAGAGCCTGGGAGGTTTGTACTCCTCCTGCCGCTGCCTGCTGCACCGTGGCATCTCACTCTCTCTCTGCAGTGGCTCAACACCGAAGCATGGGCACCACGAGACACACACACGCACACACACACACACAGACAGACACACAGGCATACAAATTGGGTGATGTGCGCATAGATGGCACGTATAGAAACACAGAAACATCAAGTGCTTACCAGCAGGCTTCCTCCGGACTGTTAAAACCCAGGGCAACCCCAGACGCCGTGATCTGCCTCTTTATTTCTCCCCCTCTCCCTCGCCTGTATCTCCTCACACACTTTTGCTCACGTCTGTCTTTCTTCCTCTCTCTCTGTCTACCTTTTCTTCTCTGATTCTCCCTCCTGTCTCTGCTGTATCCTACAGGACCCCCAGCGTCCTCCTCTCCATCCCTCCATCCCTCTCTCTGCTCTCCACCGGTCTCTACACTGATCTTTTAAGTCTACCAACCTCTCCACTGATCAATGGACAGCCGGCAAAAGCAAGCGCTGCTGCCTCCACCTCCCCCAGCTTTGTGTGTGCGTGTGTGTGTGTGTGTGTGTGTGTGTGTGTTTGACTGCGAGGAGAGGAGGCTTCCAACCCACACACCACTCTCCAGAGCTCTCAGCCTCCACAGTGCCTCATCAGTTGACCACTCCACACCCCTACGCATCAATTGTGTGCATGTGTGTGCACGCCTACACACACAGTAGGGCCATTAAAAGCAAAGCCCACATTTCACTGTCACCTGAAGTTTTTTTTTTTCCTCTTTTTTTTGGGGGGGGGGGGGGACATGTCTTAAGAAGGGCAGCAAAGCATCCTCAGCAAAGAGCTCTGAACACCTGTGACTCATCTTGATGCTGACAGAGTAGCTGGTAATGGCAGTAGTTATATCCATTATATGCACAAGCAGGTGGCTTAGCGGTTGAACAGGCAGCCACAGGCCATCCGGCAACCGTAGAACAGAAATGATCACTTTTAGTCTTTTTTTGTTGTTGCATGAAATGACACCAAAGCAGGGGCATGTCCAGACTTTTTTTTTTCTTTGACTGGGGCGGCACAAGTGGGGCTCCTGACTTACGCATGAAGTATATGCCTCAGCTTTCCAGTCATATACAAGTTATACAATTCCAATACTGTCGAGGACCCCAGCATGCAGGAATATACTCAAATACACTAGGCAAAAATAATACATGCACACCACATGCAAAAAACTGCATGGGTTTTGCCCCAAACTTCATGAGATTGGCATAAAGTGGGCATGCCTGCAAAGGGGAGAGTCGTGGGCACCCATAGAGCCCATTTTCATCCAGATATCTTGAGGTCAGAGGTCAAGAGATCCCTTTGAAAATGGTCATGCCAGTTTTTCCATCTCTTAAATTTAGCCTAATTTGGAGCATTATTTAGCCCCCTTATCGACATGCTAACATGACATGGTTGGTACCAATGTATGTGTGAAAAACAGTGCAAGAGGTAAGGATAATGGAGTGGCACTTAAGTTGGCCAATCTGATTTCAGGCCCCCCCTTCAGACACGCCCCTGCACAGAAGAAGGAAAACCCCATATTTTCACAACCCCTTGACGAGTTTTTAGAGATTAGAAATAAAATATGAGACGAGGTTTGATACAGAAAAACGTTCAGCAGCTAAAGATTATTTTGAATTAAGAGAATGTGAGCAACCTGCACTGCAACAGGGTTATAAATAGTGATCTAAATTCATCCTGTACTGCCTGCCGTGTGAGGCGGAGAAGCCATCAGATGAGGCTAAATGCAGGCGATTCAACGGTGGCATCACGAGGGGTTAAATCTAATAACAGCAAAGAAATTACCGGTTTGAGGCCCCAGAGTGTTGGCTTCGACCACATGTCAGCAAGCTGAGAGAAACAGCATTTCAGCTTTAAAATGGTAAAGAAGGGTAAGAGAATTATTGTTACTCTAACAGAGAAGTCCTTTTGGTTTGAGAACTAGAAATAATATATGTAGCTGCAGGATATATATATGAGGTGGGTAGGGAGCGGTGATTGGCACCATGGCTGAACAGGCGAGGAAGGCTGATTGACAGGTGACAGATGCCAGGCAAAAACACAGTAATAATGGGTGCTTGGCAGCAGCGATGGAGATAGAATTAAAAGGGAAAATTAGCTACATTTTTATATATAATTACAATTATAGCAGTATCCACTTGTGCAAAATAAAAAGAAAGAAAGAAAATAGTTTGCAAACCACAGAACTGTGCCACTGTAGTGATAGGGAGAGGCTGGATGTTACCACACGCATCAACCAAAAACCCCCACTACAGTTTATCTGGTTGGTGTCTGTAGAGAAGTGGGACCAAATCAAGTCACAACAAAGCATCTTGACACTCTTAATCTTAAATCACAACCCTGTCTCCTCCAAATTGGGGGAAACCTAATTTATGCCTGGATTATGTTCACTTGGAACATTTTTTTCAAATACAGAAACTTAGGCATCTTAATAGGGAGGAGGTGCTAGTGGACAGTCCAGTGAACCTTACAGGACACTGACAGTGCGGACGAGGGTTTGCGTCCTGCGTCCAACACATTGTTTTTGGCTTTTAAAACCCTCGGGCATGGCGAGGGACGAATCTTGATTTTGTCTCAGAACTGAAAAAGTCAATGTGTCTCATCTCATGCTTCAAGTCAGCACTGACGTTTTGAAATATTAAACCGAGACCATGATCTTTCCCTAACCTTGAAGTTATAATTCTTTTTCTTATCATATTAAACTGAAGTTTTATGTACTATTTATGGCTGGTATTTATTCAACTACAGTCATTAAGTGAATTTACTCTCCTTACATACTTCTCTATACAGTAGCTTCATTGTCAGTGGCGGAGTCCGCCAATCCTGTGCTTGATTCAAATTGCATTCCCATTCACAAGGAAACGTGGTACTCTACTTGTTTAAGTACAGCTACATTGATTTATGAAGAAGACATCAAATTGTCATCATGCACTGTAAGCACATGCACAAGTTGCACTATTTCAGATTGAAGCTTTATTTGCTATTAATGGAAAATAAATTAAATGTTGATAGAAAACATAATGAAGGTGACATTTTTCTTACAAAATGTAATTGCTACTGTAAATATGTTGTGTATAAATTCATCTTTCAGCAGAGAGAGTGAGTCTTACACTTCGCAGTCACATTTTACAATACCTAAACACCTTCAGAATAAAGGTTAGTGCTACTGCATATCACACATATTACACTGCTTTGTTGAATACTCAATTCTGATTGGTCAATTCCAGTATTCTAAGGTCTGTTATTTCTGAATAGTGGACCGCTGCTATGAATAACAGACTGTTGCTATGGACGCAGCTCTGATAATAGACTCTGGAGGATCGCAGTGGAAGCAATGGAATCATTTTTAAATTAATAGTTTGTGTCAAATAATTGATTTCTTTATTAATTAGCCGTGGAATAAGTGCCCTGTTTCATCTCTCTGTACATTACCCCTTACATAACCCATGAATGCTTTATGAAACCCCGTATGCTAATATATGACTGTCTTTATTCTGTATACAGTTAAAAAAAACAAACACTCAATGTCTGTTCTGAATATCTGATCTGTCTCTAAAGTCAAATTGAGTATATAGTCATGTGACTTGAATCCACACTACCAACTATATAAACTGGCTGCGGCACACTC